CAATGTATTTCATAAGAATAACGGGAGGGTAATTCTATTTTAATCTATTTGGATAAAAGTAAACCACGGTCTGGGAAATTAAAGGTGTGGTGATTTTAATTATCCTCCCTCCCTCCCCCGCCCTGCAGGTTGACGTGCTCGCCCCGCTCGAGCGGCTCGACGAGGCGGCGGCGGTGGTGATGCACAAGGCCGGCTTCCTGCAGCCCACCGGCTACGAGCGCTTCGCGCCCGGCCCGACCTCCGGCGCCTGGTCGCGCCGCAAGGCGCAGCTTCCCGTTCAGGCGAGCGGCGACTTTTGCGCCGCCGGCCCCCGCCTCCGCGCGTGCGAGGCGGCGGTGCTCGCCGCCGCACCGGACGACCACCGGCTGTACCAGCTGGCCGTCGAGCGGTTCGCGGCGCAGGTAGCGTCCCTGCGCGGGGTCCCCACCTTTGCTCGGACACTCGAGGCCCACTTTGCCGCGGTGGCGGCCGTAGGGCAGGCGGCAGCTGGAAGATGACTGTGTGTCAGTCGGAAACATGGTCAGTGTGATGATATTAGTCTTTATAGTGGCTGTGACCACTCTGCATCCTTCGTGAACTGTTGAACCTCTCTCGCTCTGTGCTTGGATTCCCTCCCACTTTTGTGCTCCGAACACGGCTGTTTTCATCGTGAGGGAGAAGCGGAGAGAAAAGCGCGGCGGGGGCACGCCCACACGCGCACATACACACACGCGCACACGCACACACACTCTCTATCTCTCCAGCTCATGCTCCACCGACATATAGCCTAGCCCGCTCTCTCATCGCGCATAACACACACGCCGCGAAACGGCACACGGGATCGAGAGACAGAGAGAGAGCGCGCGGACGCCCTCGCGCCCCGCGACCCTCCACACCCCGAACGCACCCTCCCCGAACGCACCCCGTCCGCCCGACTCTCGGGCTGCCACCCCCCCTCCACCCCGCCCCTCCACCCCGCCCCTCAGCCAGCCCATCACGCACCGGGCCGACACCTCTGCACACCGCGGGGCGCGTGGGTCGAAGCGCCCCGCCGTCTCCAGCTCTCATCTGCGTGTTCGTCACCAGCTGTCGTCGAAGTCGTCCCAGTCTCCGGCCGACACCTGCAGGCAAGAACCGGGTCTCGCTCTGACCGCGCCGCGGACTCTCCTCTCGCGCCCCGCCCGCCGCCCGCCTTTGCCGCGGCGACCTTGCGGCTCTTACCGCTCGCCCCAACGATGGCGCTGCAGTGCGACACCTTCGGCGCGACAAAGCCCGACCCCCTGCAGGACATGTCGCGGACATGTCGGGGACACTTCAAGGACGCGGCGAAGCCCCCCCCCCCCCACAGCCCGCCGCCCTGTCCCCTCCCCCTCTCACTCGCTCCCGCGCTCGCCCTCTCCTCCTCTCCCTCTCACCCGCCTCC